GAATTGCAAACCTATTATTTTACAATGCCTCGGGCAGAAGTCTCAAAAACTTAAGGTTTCTGAGTGGCTGGTATTGCCTGTTCTATTCTTTGCTTTGGCTAAGTATCTATCACAGCATTTCTAACCCACTAACAAAATTTTAGTCCAAATTATCACAAATCTAACTTTAGGCATATTCATAGATACTTCAATAGCCAAAACTATACTTACACACTTACATTCACGCAAGTGCTTGTCCCCCTTCTAAGTGAGATTAAGACAAACCAGAAGCATCTAATGTTACCAGGTGTCAATAGGAGGAAAAGCAAAGCTTTGATGTGAAACAGAGTCCTTCAGCCCTAGAGGAATGAACCTGTTTGGTGGGATGTGCTGAAAAACCCGTGAAGGAGAGAAAACCTTCATACACGACAGGAGACAGACAAAGCTAAATTTTCACTGTGTCAAGCTGTCTTCAGCCAGCCTGAAGACCATTGGCTGGCTGAGCACATGACAAGCAGTCAACCCAAAGAAAGAATGAAATTAATCTGTCCTCATTCATACAAAGCATGAGCCCTTACACAGGTCTTTGAAAGCACCCCCACTGTGCATCAATAACAACAATGCCACTTCACTCTTTTTTGGTCTGAGGAGAAAAAGTTTAAACAACACACTCCTGGCTCTGCAGAATAACCAGCTACTGCCAGGACAGCGACTCAGAAGTCACTGCCTGCAAGCCTGAGGATCACTTTGCACAGCCAACTGAACCCCCTTCATACAGGAAGGATCGGGATGATTTCCCATCAGGGCTGGCCAGCCAGGCTGGAGTCTCATAGCTGACTCCAGATGCAGATGCCAGCAGAAAGTAAGTGACATGACTTGCTGGTCCCCAGCGCTGTGTATGCACACCTACAAGCTGCAAGGTTACGTGAAGAGAGCTGACATGGTGGCTTTGTTAGTGCCTAGTCCACAGTTCCCTTGCAAGCAAGTGTAAGGCTAAAGTTACATAGCAGAGGAATGGAGTTCTCTATTATGAGAACAGACTCACATATGACTTCATTTCGTTGATTGACATTAAGGAAATGACAAGCATGTCTTAAGTACCTCTGCCCAGGATAAAAAGAAATATGCCAAGTACATAAGTAATTTAACAACTTTTGTGGATTAGAACATCAATTGCATCGCCTCCAAAGTTGGTTGTGTCAACAGCAAAGTTGGAATGGAATTGCCACCCTTGAAGTGCTCAGTTTTCTTCAGCTACATGTTCCAGCCAGTTAATTTTTTAAACACACCACAATCCAACTGTTTCATTCTGATGGACATCTAGGTCCACTAATTAAGGGCTTAGTTTGACTGGCAATGCACAGACTTGTTCCAACCAGATGCTCCCTGCCCCAAGGAGCTTGCTTGCAAGCAAAGCTTAGAAAATAGACACCTACACTTTAGCCACTACACAAATATGCAAGGGCACAAGAGCTGAAGAGGGATTTGGAAGAAATTAATTTGTGTGAGAAACCCCTACCCCAAGTAGTGGGGATGAACAAGACGTTTCACTTGTAGACAGCTCACTGAGCTGGTTGGAGAATACTTCTAACAGCTGAATATCAGTATGCCGTCACGTAAACCCACATGCAACTAACTCCAGGATATGCATTTTAAAAGCTCTTTGAACAATTTGACTTATAATTCAGGAAGGGCTTCTCAGGGCCACCAGTCCAAAACTATGAAAGAAAATAATAAAAAACTGTACTAGCCTGTAATAGTGGACAACCAACAAAAAATTCAGGTCTTGAGTTACAGGCCTCTCTCCTTATTTGAAGGATTTCACTACAGTATGGGACAACCCCCTGTTCTCACTCTTCTCTCCTGTCCCAGAAAGTCTGCTCTGGAACAGACCCAATTGCCAGCTGTTATCAAAGATGAGCCCTAACCTGTAAAGTCAGATCTGCTTTTGGCTCTCAATTTCTAACAGCCAGCCAAAAACCAGAGGTTTCTGAATCTGGCCTAATCTTCAGCAAATAACACCAGACCACTGAAGCAAGAGGTGGAACAACAGGCTGAGGCACAAGGCTCCAATTCACAATCCTTTCTTGGATTTAGCTGCAGCAGCTGAAGGACTCTAAGCCAATGGGCTGGACTATGAACCACAACAGCTCCGGAGTGGCCATGCTGCTACTGAGCCACCCCCGCTACAGGGGCACGAGCGTCCAGTGGGGAGACAGCAAGGTCAGCAGGACCAGTCTTCCAAAGCTAAGGGTTCAAATTTGAACCCTAACTACCACACTTCACGGCCCAGCCACCCTTACCAGAAACTGCTGGCAGTGCTCACTACAGCACTAACCCAACAGCAGGTGAAATGTCAGTCAGTCAATCCCTCCCTTCCCGTTACGGTGACTTCTGGTGAAAGGGCAATAAAGGGACAGTAACTTGCTCAGCAACACCAGCACAAACCAGCAGACCTCTTGAGTCAAAGCCCTCTGAGCAGCCTTAGTTGTCAACTGTCCAAAGACCAACTTTAGTAGGGAAAAAAAGAAGTCCATTACATCAACACCCAAAGCCTGTGTATTTCCTGGTTTCACTTACAGGAGGCAATGGTAGTCTCTCACCTTCTCCAAGTGGGGGAAGACTAGGAAGACCCACCACAGCCACGCTAAACCAATTTGGGACACATGGTAGCAAAATGAGATCTTTACAGCGGGCAGAAACTTCATCCTGAAAGGATTCCTGAAGCTTGGATGCCAACCCAAGATTGGTTAAATCTCCCAAGCTTACAAAAAAAATGAGTTGACAATTTATGCAAGGACAGTCTCCCAGGACTTTGCCTAATGGCAATACTGTTGCAAGCTAGAAACACAACAGCAGCTTGCTTTCCCTTGAATTTGGGAACTTCCAACAAAGGTCATAAGGTGTGAAAGCAAGTGGGTAATGAAGGAGAAGAGCAGCTCAGCACACTGTTTTTAAAGCTTAGAAAGCTCTTGGTTTGGATGTTGGATGCAGATCAGTTTTTATTCTATCCAAATTAGTTGCTCATTCTCTACTTACATTACTACAGATCTGCTTTTATGCTCACACCTAACTAACTTTTCACTAGGTCTCAATGACAGCAGACTGGACCTTTTAAATAATGCACGTACCACACATGCCAGAATACGTACAGACCTGCACAGGCACAGACCAATGTGAGGAAGCTGAGAAGGCAGAAGTCCGGTCTGTGCCTGGCAGCCCCACATCATCCGAGGGCAGCAGAGGGAAACAGTACAGGACACTTGGCCTCGTCACAGGGTCCATGCACAGTGCAGCCACGGGAAGCTTCCACACCGCTCACCGCTTGTGACACCTATCCCGTGTCCACACCTGCAAGAAGATCTGGCCCAACACCTAAGATAGAGCACTGCATGCTCTGTTAAGCGATTAGTATGCTGGTACGAGGCTCAACCAAGACCAGGCAGCTGCATGTGGTCCCCAAAGGCCTACAAAACATACATAAACCCAGAGTTTGAAAGTCTGGCTTTCTGCCCATACACATGTATACTAGTCATTGTACCGCTCCCCACAGCAGGCTGCAACGCTACCTCTGATGGTCTATGCATTAGCCTTGCAAGAACGAGTGCAAGCTTAAGTCTCACTTCTCTATTGAGCCTGCAAAAATGCAGACCACCTGTTTGCAGCACAAAACCTTGGCACTAATATGAACAAAATGGCTGCAGATACCCACTCCTGCGGGTTTTCCTGCCTGCCTCCAAGCATCCTGAAGGCTGTATATACCCCCGAGAGCTCCTTCCAAAGATTCTCACAGTTTCACAACCTGAGGCTCCAAGAGATAAACAATAAAGCTAAAGGAGGTGATCACAGCCACAAGGCCCAGAAACACAGTGTTCAAAAGAAATCCCCCACTGCCTCTGCAGAGATATTCTGCACTGAATCCTTCTACCACAACCTAAAGCATTGCCCTTATTTTATTTCCAACAATAAAATCTAATCCTGCCTCCCCCAAGAACTACAGAATATGCAATCCCCGCAGGAAGAAGTACATGGACACAGCAAACTTTGAGGAAACATCAACACTGTTTCTAACAAAGTTGCCATCAGCGTGTCCAGTGACTGCGCAGAAGTGCAGCCACACGGCAATCTGCCTCTGTGTAACACATACAAAAGACTCCACTAGAGTCTGGTATACGGATCCCCAGCCCCCAACTTGGGCAATGAGGGCTGCTACTTTTCCCAGATCCCTTCTTTGATTTGGGGCCAGGTGCTACACTTCCCGCAGTACTGATGCCGATCCAGAGTAACTCTGCTGATTTCAGGGTGTATCCCTTGATTCACAATACTTTCACCAAATCAGGATCTGGTAATTTTTTGTAAGTAAATCATCATGACTCCATTTTTATCCCATTGCATATGGCTTAAAAATTCCTCCTTGCATTTGGCAGGAAAGGCTTAGATATTCCTTATCCTGAATCTGTGATCCTCATTTTTCTTTTGAGCACTAAGAAAGGATGTAAGCAGAGTTCAGAAAGCCATGGGTCAATGCAGCAAACCCAACTGCAAACTTCAGCTCAGATTCCAGCCTTCAGGAGCAGAAGGGTGAAAAATGCAAATAACAAGCTGAAAGGCATTTTAGGCAAATCATGTTTGTACAGTACCTAGCACAGGAAGGGTTCTAGCCTGGTGAGGGCTGGGACACTACAGTTGCACACATACAAAGGTAAGCAGACAGGCAAATGCCTACATAGCTAAACACGAACCCCGTTAAAAATAAATACTTCTAAAGAACAGACAGAGATACATCTGCCTTTATCCACCTTTCTGTATTACCTATTGAATCGTGCAGGGTAACTCTGAGAGCAAAGGAACAGGACTTTAGTAACAGGCATACAGCCTAGGCCAGTTCCTACTGAGCACACTGGCTGAGAGGAAACTGGCCCAGCATAGTAAACACTGCAAGTTACCAGCTTCTCAAGGCCCTGTTATTAGTTACCTGAAGGGTGCAAAAAAACAACCGAGACAAAACCGGCTGTTCTTACCTTCAGCTGGAAAGGTTGAATTTCATTCAAAGTCTGGTTCCTGAGCTTTTTGGTGAGGATCTTCAGCATGGTACAAATCCGAGGAGCCAAGAAAGGGTTAAGCATACACACACGCACGCAGCTACATCTGCC